GCAGGAGGCAAGGGAGGCGACAACGGTGGCGGAGATTCCATTGGTCCGGGCGACGGCGACTCTATTGCCCTCATTTTGCCTTTGTCCACTTTTGTGAAAGCCTTCTCTTCTGATGTCTCGCTTGCTGCATCAGATTCCACACCTGAATTCGAGGTCCCGGCAGCCTTGCGCTGAATTTCCTTGAAGCGCTGGGCAATGCGTTCAGACACCGTAGCCGAGCGCTGTGGTTGCGTGGTCTTGTCACGTGGCAAAAGGCGCGGAGAGCTGGTGTAATGATCCCCTAGATCATTGTTAGGTGCAAACTTCGCGCTTGTAGAGAACGTTGTATCAGGTTTGGTGGATGGAAATAGGAGAGAGTACTCACTCATCCTCTGCCTCATCTGCCCGACGTGTCTTTTGAAGATAAGAGCTCTTTAGTTTAATAACCTGAGCAATTTGGGTGAGGATCTCGTGTTTATGGTCTGCGCTGTCTCTTGCCAACACACACCTCCTTTTGTGAATCTTCATAGGCACGCAGCCAGTTGTTCATAACCATAGCTTTGCTAGAAGAAAGGCGCTCCTGCAAAGAAATGACATCACGAGTGAACAACACGGTATGTCTGCATATTTACCTCGTATCCCTGAGCCCATTCGTTAAATGGGTCAGCTACAAGAGCCCGTAGGTCCTTGGAAGTGTCTTTGTGAACTTGGCCTTGTTTTTCCGACTCTGCCTGAAGTCCACGGAAAGCCATCAACAACGAAGCCCCATCATCCTTGTTGAAGCCGGCGCCTGCAAGAGGTTAGCCTGCGGTTTCAGCAGAGAGGTCACATCCACCGACCATGTGAGCCAATTGCTACAGGATGTTGTAATGATGTTGCAATCTGAGCCTCAGCGGCTGCACGAGCCTGTAATATCTCTCGTTTCAGGATATCTGAAGTATCGCGAAGGAACTTACTCTTATGAATGCAACAATCTCATGGTTCTCCACTACACCCTGAAATCATCGAGATATTAGACCAATACCCTGAGTTAGAGACGCGTTCTTACCTGTTCGAGCTTATTATACAAAATCTCCAAGCCTTTCCGATAATCCTGAGTCCAGAACGAGTTAGTGAATGTTAACGGCAGGGATAGTACTGCCATGAATGAATATTGGGCACTCTGAACAGTACTCTCGGTGTGTCCAAGAAATGGTCTTGAGTAAAATGATGTTCAGGCGCACTGCTCCAACGTTGGGTACGGAAACTAGACAAGAAGGTGTGTTCAGGGCTTTCAGGCAGTGACAATATTTCCACGTGGCGGACATATCGGGTAGGAAAGACCGCTTAGCCAAAGATGTGAACGTTTCATTTCTCCTGCAGCTGTCGTCCAAATATTTACGATCAAGTAAAATTGCTTCTGAGATGCACATCCAGCTAGGCTCAACAGTAAATAAAATTTTCCCAAAAGATGAGCGGATGGTCTTGCAGCCTTGCAGGGGTACCGGTTACCGTGTTTGCGGAGTTTGCCGAAATGACATTGGACTAATTTTTGGTTTGAGCAGGCTTGAGCGGAAACAAGTCTAACGGGGACGACGGCTCGAGTGTCCAACACGACTCATTCTGCGTAAATTTCTGCCAATGGGTCATGTCTCAAAACGCCTTTATTCTTCCGCTTCAAAGTTAGCTGTTTCCACTTCACGACTGAAGCAGTTTCCGCCAAAAGAGGCCATCCTCGTACCAGACTCTGGCAAACCGAATTTCTTTGACCCGGAGTTATGGGCAGCTCTCCAACCCCCACCTACGTCTGCCCTCACCGCGTTCGCTCACCGAATAGGCCTCGCAAACGTGTTGTCATCGGCAGATGTAGTCCGACGCGCTTGCACACACAAGTCGTTCCTCAATCTTCATGCTAAATATTACCCTTCGAGCCCCACACCCCCAACAAACGCGAATCTTGCGACGCTAGGAAATTCATTGATGGGACTATTTGCATCTGAACATCTTCATGCCGCATACCCGCATTTGCCGACTCGCGTTTTAAAGGCTGCAGTCAGCGCTCATGTTGGTCCATTGACGTGCGCGAGTGTCGCTCAGGAAATGGGTGCAGTACCCCTACTACGGTGGCATAGACAGGTAGAGTATTAGATGTTTAAAGTACAAGCACCTTGTTGCTGATAGAACATTTTAGCCTACGACACCAATGTCTCCAGCACTACTGCACTCGGATGCACTAGCATCAATACCGAGGGCAATAACTGCCCTTGTTTACCAAGAAATATCACTCCAATCTGCACGGAAATTTGTCCAGTCGTTTTTCTTGAGCAGGCAGGTTGATCTGCGGAGCATGATCAGATTCCGTGACCCAAAGCGAGCCCTTATAGAAACAGTGGAAAAATTTGGTCGTGAACGTCCAAAATCCAGGTATGCTGCCCGGATATAATATTCGTATCTCATTGAACTGAAGAGCCTTTACCGTACAGATTACTGAAGGAAACTGGTCGTTATTCGAATTCGCCCGTATTTGTAGTGGGTATTTTTTCTGGACAGGACAAGCTTGGCGAGGGTTTCGGTAGCTCGTTGAAGATGGCAGAATACCGGGTAAGCACCCTCCAGGTATACCTATCCATAATTATCTTACTGTAGGTGCTTTAGGCGGCTGAAGACTCGCTACACCGGCTATACCTTACTCGGACGCCAGACCACCTTCTCCAAGTCCCCTCATCGACATTCCCTTTCAAGCAGGGCAATATCTACAAGACTGGATTGGAGGTACCATACACCCCCGGGGTGCTCGGTGAGGCTGAAATTCTGTATGCGAGCTCAGGGCGCAGCAATATCGTCGCTCCCAAGCGACCGACACTAGAGGAGATAGAGGCGAGACGGGAGGGTCTGGATGTATAGTACACAATCTTGCTTAATCTGCACAGTTTACTCTTGAAGTTTTAAGAGCGATGCGAAGACCCCATACAAGAAGGAACAACTGTGTTCCTTCTATAGGACTGACCAGCGAAGACCAACAAGCTAGCCCTCATCCTGCATGACTTATGTCAACCTGCACTTGACCTCAACCTACTTGACCGTGCTGAAATTCCATGGAAAGTATTTCCATTGTTCAAGATGCTTCCACATCCGGGATCTAGAATTCAGACGCCTTTGTTGTCCCCACACATTTGCATCATACCACCTGTTATGCTAGATGTGTTTCCCTCACCATGACATGCGCTGTCCGACTAATAACCTTAGTTGGAAATGTCTTTCAGGGAGTTTGTGCAACTGGAACAAACGAGAAAACAAACGAGTTGAGTCCTCCCTGGCGTCCTGCTGCCGTATAAGATTAGGATGTCATAGAGCAGAGCAAAATACTGGCACAGTGGCACTAACTATATCTGGTTGTACTGGCTATATTCGCATGCGGCATCCACTTTCATATGGAGGGCACCACATAGTGTTGGGCCGTCACTACCACTCCCACTTGGAAATCAATCTAGACATTTGCCGATTGTCAGAGTTCATCGTAATGCCCAGCAATGCGTTGCGGAAAACTTTTTGTGACTCCTATGAAGCTCATGCATGCAAGATGAGAATGGTGATTGTAGGGTGCGATGAAAAATTTGTATTCAAGACTACGTTGTCAATGATAATCGTCGTCATACATGCACGAAAATACTAGTAACAAGAACAGTCTGTACATAATGAAATCTAATGAGCCCGTTCATACCAGTAAGGGAGAAAGTAAATCAAATACTTCTATGCGGAGAAGGGAATGAAAAGTCCCAGAATACATGACGAAGGTGAGAGATAAACATACCAGCAAAGGGGAAAGCAAATCATGATGACAGAGATGAGTCCAATATCTGTCTCGGACACAAATTGAAGAAGGAAACAAAAACAAGAAACGTGCATACCAGAGATAGATCTATGATATAAATCGCCAGTCGAGGAGCGTACAGATCGACGAGGTAGTAGAGAAGGAAATGAGAAACGACTTGCTCTGATAGGCCCATGTGTGTGGATGACCATAGCCGTGATATAATATCGCGTAGGAGGAAATAGTAAAGAAGGCCGATTAGAGATTGGGTTGTAGGGGACCTCTGGCCTTAGAGACTTGCGGCGTGGTGTAGTACGCGTAGATTGGAAGTGGCCTTTGACTTCTTTAGCAGTGAAGCGGGTCGCAGGGGACAGGAGGCCGTCATCCGGATTGGTCATAGGGGACCTGACATCGAAGCGTAGGCGTGCCCAGATCGTGGAGATCAGTGAAAAGGGACAATATGTTTGGCTCTGTGTTGTTGTTTCAGGTCTAGGCTGTCGAAGCAGAGTAGTTGTGAGAGGAGGCAGCTTGAAGTGTCAAATGGTGCGCTTCGCAACTAAGATCAGAGGCTTCACCTCCGAGATGGAAGACGGACGATCTTCAAGAGACAGTGCCTCCATATTTCGAGTCACCACATCGATGGGAAAGCTGGGTCCAGGAAGAGCGACGCCGGGATCGGTAGATGAAGTATCGGAGAGAGAGCCGCCTCCAAACGTCGGACCAATGCGTCCACAGAATATGCGGGTTCAAAAAGTGGAGGACAATGAATGGTGGTAGAGGTCTTGTGGTTGTTGTTGTTTGAAATGAGTGGTCGAAGCTTGGAATGACGAGGCGGATTATCGAGAGCAAGAGCTGTCATTTTGGTAATCAGAATATCAAGCGTTCCTTCCGAGGCTGTATCTCAAAACAATCATCGGAGAGATTCAAATGCCAGATAATATGGAAACGGGCCTAGGGTACAAGAGTGGCGCTGGAATTGATAGAAAGGCGTTTGCAGTAGAGGTTCGGCGAAGTGAGAGTGATGCAAGTCATACAGATATTATAGTACGTGATCGGAACAAACGTTGTTTCCGTCAATTCAATTGAACGCAACATAGATGGATTCTGAGATGTCCGCAAATGATACAGCTCTACAGTGGTGTTTTCATTAGGCGTGCAAGTATAAATTGGGATGGATATTGTTTCCGTCAATTCAATTAAATGTGAGTGAGATGGAAACGGAAATGGCTGAGGCATAACGGTGGTGGTGGTGGTGTCATTGTGTCATTGGAAGATGGAAGGTTAGAGTCAGGTCGTCGTTCTTTGAAGTGGCGGGCCCATGCTTGAGTCCGTTGCTGAGGATCCTCTGTGCAGCTTTCTCGGTGGTGAGAACCAGTGTAATTGTCGACAAGCAGATAGAGTATGATACAGCGAGGCCAACGGAATTGGACAGGACCTGAACGGCATTGTTGATAACAGCTCGTTTGAAGCAAAGACTGAGAGGAAGCCAGTGGCGACGAGCACAGTAATGGTCATGGCGGAAGAGATTATAATGATGAACACTGATTGAGAGAGGTAAATATGCTGGTACGCGTAGAAGAGGGGAATCGCTGAACTGAGATTGGCTTTAGAATTGCTCCTATAAATCAGGGTTTGGACACGCTGCCAACGCGATCAACAGACTCGATCGCGACGCGTTTGTCACGTGCTTATAAAATCAAGTGACTCGGACAGCCTCTCAGCAGTAATTCACCTGAGCTTCAAACCATGTGGCATGTCACTCGAAGTCTCTCTGAGAGAGACTGATAGTACCTGCTAGTCTCGTCTCGATGGACTATAGACAAATGAAGATAGTCCGAGTCGTTCCTTCCATACTCTGGTCCACTGGTACGCGGCAGGACACATGATGATTGACTGGCAGGTGACGTGGTTGAGAATAAGTCAGTAATTATTAATTACTGAAGTTCGCGCGCTGTTGATCCACGCACGACAACGTGACGCTGGCCAAGCGGGGTTCGACGATCCGTATTGCCCGGGCCGTGATATAAGTACTTCAGCTACCGAGATTCCTGCAAGATACTTGTTGATTTCTGGGTATGTCTACCACGAACGAGAAAACAAACGAATTCCTTCCTGGTATCTTGCCACCGCGTGGTACTGGCAGGACGTTGTCGAGCCGCAGGACAGTGGCATTGAGGACGGGTCTGGTGGTACTGGCCACCGTATTCGCATCCACTTTTCTATGGAAGGTACCATATGGCATCGGGCCGTACCACACCCTCCAGGAAGTTAATGCAGATATCTGCCCCCAAGTGTCTGAGCTCATTCCAAAGTCCAACGGTGCTTTGTGGAAGACTTTGGGCGACACCTATGAAACTGATGCATTCAAGATGAGAGCGGTGGACTGGCTTGCAGGGGCTGTTAGGATCCCGTAAGTTTATCATTCACATTGCAAGCCTCACCAGAGAACTCACTAGTACTAGAACAGAATCCTACGATCAGATGGGTCCTGTCGGGACTGACCCACGCTGGGAGAAATTCGGTGCTTTTCACGACTATCTGTTGAAGGCCTTCCCACTGGTGTAGGTGTGCTTCTAGTTCATTGTGTGTAGACTGACTATCCCTGTAATTGCACAGCCATGCTTCCCTTGAGGTGACGAAAGTCAATACGTATGGCCTGATATATGTATGGAAAGGAACGAGCAGCTCTCTCAAGCCTCTCTTGCTTGCAGCCCACCAAGGTGACCTCAGTGCCCTTCTTGCGTAGCCAGTCCCTGGAATCTTTGTGATTCAGATGTTGTTCCTGTGGAGGAGACCACAATTGACCAATGGCAGTATCCACCTTTTTCTGGGCACTTCGACGGTGCGAGTGTTCTATTACGATCTATCTGATAAGCTCTGATGAGTATGATAGGTGAGCGAATATGGGGACGCGGCTCGCAAGACGACAAAAGCGGGCTGATAGGTGAGCTCTTCGCAGGTTATGCGCTTTCCATTTGGCTGATTATGGATGCACAGGCATCATGTATAATATGTCTCATAACCTTTCTTTCACTCTAGCTTATGTTTTGCGTTAGGTCTGCCATGGAGAATATGCTGGAGAACAAGTTTCAACCAATCCGAACTGTAGTTTTGGCGTCCGGGTTTGATGAGGAGACCAGCGGCCTTCACGTAAGGACATCAACCCATAGTTTGACAACTAGGCTGAACCATCGACAGGGTGCTCAAATGTTGGCACCAGTGTTACTGGAGATGTTCGGTGAAAATGGTTATGCCATGCTAGTGGATGAAGGCTGTAAGATGATGCTCTCTTTGCCATCAATCAAACATTCTAAACCTGCACTGTTTTGGGTTACAGCTGGATATGGTGAACAGTTTGGCCGAGTCATCGCAACTCCCGGAATTTCGGAGAAAGGATATTTGGATGTGATGATAAATGTTGCATCTCCTGGTGGACACTCGAGTCTTCCACCGCATCATACTGTGGGTCTTTGCTCTAGAATTAATGGCTGGGTGCTCATATCAGCATAGAGCATTGGCATACTGGCGGATATGCTCGTAAACATTGAGAGAAATCCATTCGAAGTTCATCTTGTAAGTTCTAGAACACCAATAGGGCAATATAATAACTCTCGCGCAAACCTCGCAGGAAAGAGGTTCACCGACATACAAGATTGCGCAATGTCTTGTTCACACACCTGACCTTCCTGCATCACTGCGAAGAGACATCATTCGCGCAGAGCATAATGAACTTGCTCTTCGCCGCGCTGAGCAGGAACTCCTCAAGAACCCAATGTTCAAAAATCTCGTCGGAACCACTCAAGCTATTGACCTCATTCACGGAGGGGTAAAAGTCAATGCCCTGCCAGAGCAAGCTTGGGCTGTAGTGAACCATCGCATTTCGACGCAGAGGTTGGTGATTAATCAGTATCGCACAAACACATGCTAATATCGAGTCTAGTTCCGTCACTGCAACGAAAGGGCGTGATACTGAGCTGCTCATATCGCTGGCAAGCCAATTCAACCTATCATATACTGCCTTCGGTGCTAGGATAACTGATGCTGATGCTCCCGCGTTTGGCACCTTGACACTATCTGAAGCTTATACGCACGGACTTGAGCCTGCTCCAGTCTCACCCACTGGACATGACGCCGTGCCTTACCAATTGTTATCTGGTACTATCAGAGCTGCATATAACTCTCACAGAGGTCTTTCAGATGATGATAGCTTGATCATCAGTCCTGGAATCATGTCAGGCAACACAGGTCAGTGATATCTGTTTGGTCATCACCATGTGATCCTCACGCCCTTGATAGACACGAGGTACTATTGGAAGCTGACCGAGCACATCTTCCGCTATGGCCATACAGACGGTGCTAGTGGTGGAAGCATTATTTCTGGGGTACACACCATCAACGAGGGTAAGACTTGATTTTTTCACTCTCTTCCGTATTTGATGCATAGTTTCATGACAGCCATTAAGATCAGCAACTTTGTTGAAATGATTCAATTCTTCACCACACTTATTCTCAACGTTGATGAATCGGAGTTGCCCTGAGAGAGAATTTCTGTATTTTAGTATAGCGAAGGAGACGCGGTGCCCTTTGCATGGCTGTATGGGAACAAATATGAGTAGTAATGGTACAAATCGCCGATGCGGTCCGCGTTTGAGATGTACGTGAGTAAGCTAGTTTGTTCGGCGTCCGAGTTGTGTACAGTCTAGTAAGTACTATTATATGTAGCGACGACTCCGAGTCATGACAAATTTTGACCCATGACATGCATGCCACTTGACCCTCTGACTATTAATGGATATCCAAAAGTTAAAACGGCCCGTAAAACGGTAGTTATCGGTCAATGGGATCATATATATCAGTTTCCAGCTTGAAAGAGATCTTTCCCGGATCTTTGCAGGCTTCTGTCGCATAACATGTCCCAAGTCAATCTAGTCGAAAAGAAAGCTGACGAGCTTCCAGGTATCAATGCCCGCACATCCACTACGAAGCTTTCAAAGGCTAAGGCTATCGCATTCAAGATCACACTCGTCACTGCACTCGCAATCTCTGCTTCAACATACTTTGTCAAAAGACCCTTGAACGGTTCCCTCGAGAATGGCGTAGATTTGTGCCCTCAGGTGGATGAACTTGTTCCCGAGAAGAATGGAGTGATCTGGGAAAGTCTTCAACACGTGTACAGTACCGACGAGTTCAAAACGAGAGCCATAGACTGGCTTGGGGGAGCTGTGCGAATTCCGTGTGTTTGTTTCGCCTGCGATATGCTGAGTATCTGCGCTAAATACAACCCTCAGCACAGAAACGTTCGATGACATGGGAGATGTGACAGAGCCCGTTTGGGAGAAGTTCCTCCCGTTACATGATTATCTGAAAGACTCATTCCCTTTACTGTGAGTACTCTTCCGCACTGTGCCATTGTCCAGTTCACATTGTGTGCTAGTCACTCAAACTTGGAACTTACGAAAGTCAATACATACGGACTGTTATACGTATGGAAAGGCTCAAACAGTGCTTTGAAGCCACTCCTCCTCGCTGCTCACCAGGGTAAGTTCGTTTGTGCATCATACATATCTATAGACTGACTTATCGGCCGCTAGACGTGGTCCCTGTGTTAGAAACGACAATCGATGAATGGCAGCATCCTCCATTCTCCGGTTACTTTGATGGTCTGTGCAGTAGTTTCATGATAGGTCGCATGTTTTTAACTGATACCTTGGCAGGGGAGAGTATTTGGGGTCGCGGGTCGTGCGATGATAAGAGCGGTCTAATCGGTAGTGTTCCAACATCTAGTTCTATTCCTGAACTTATTGATTGCGTCTAGGGATCATGTTTGTGTCCTTGTAATGTTCAAGAAAGTATACTGATTGCCGTAGGTCTGCGATTGAATCTATGCTAGAGAACGGCTTCAAGCCGACTCGCACAGTTGTGATCGCGTCAGGATTTGACGAGGAAGTAAGTGGAATACGGGTAAGTTGCTAAAACTCTGCATAGCTACATTCGCATGTTAACATTGAATACTGGTTCAAGGGTGCGTCTTCCCTAGCTACCGAAATGATAGAGAGATTTGGAGAAAACGCCTTTGCCATGCTCCTCGACGAAGGCTGTGAGTTGTTGTTGGACTTGACTAACACGATGAATAATGAGGTTTTGGTCGACAGCCGGGTACGGTGAGGTATATGGTCGTGTTATTGCAGTACCTGCAATTGCCGAGAAAGGTACCTTGAACGTCCAAATCAAAGTTACATCTCCCGGTGGCCATTCTAGCCTTCCTCCACCTCATACGGTGAGTTTTCTCATACTAAATTCTTCACCATTCGTCTCTGATTTTCCAAGAGCATCGGTATGCTTGCAGAGCTCCTTGTACAGTACGAGAAAAATCCCTTCGAGGCCCACTTGGTGAGTTTTAAGAGACTGGCTCTAACGATGCACTGATACTTTTCCGGCAGACAAGAGGATCGCCGACTTACAGGAACGCTCAATGCATGGCTCAACATGCACCAGGCGTCAGTTCCTCGTTAAAGGAACACATGTTGCATGCAGAGCACAGTGATGAAGCACTTCGCGCTGCTGAGGAGGAACTTTTCAAGA